CCACGTGTCAGGTGATCCACATCGGAAAACTCAACGAGGCATTCGAAGTGAATACAGGAGTGAGGCAAGGCTGCCTGTTATCACCATTGTCAAACTGTGCGCTGTGAGTGAGAAGACAGGAATATGCTGTACTGACAGGAAGACTCTAGTAGATCAGGATTTCGCGCATGAATGATTTATGCCTAATTTTACGAAAACTGGAGGATTTAGAGGCAGGCGAAAAGCAAAAAGCTGGCTGAAGAAGCAGGCAGGCAGAAAAGACAGGAATCCCGGTGAACATAGAGAAGCAAGGAGGTGATGATGATAACCACACATCACCACCATTACCAACAAGCATCAATAACTACGTGGAAGATTTGAGAGAGGTTAATTCCTCCACTTATTAAGGAAGCATCGTTACAACAACAGGCCAACGACAGGGATGGGGATGTCAAAGTCAGAATTGGAAATGCAAGACAGACACCTTCGGAACTCTGAAATCAGTTTAAAAATCGTCTGCACTCAGTATAAAGGGAAAAATTTGGATTTTTAACACCAATATGAAGTCAGTTCCTCTCTATGGGTAAAAGCTTGGTTCACGCATCTCCGAAAGCATTTCGATCAGGCTACTGCAGGCTTTTGTCAACCACTGTCTCCGCTCTTTCGTTAAACATCAAGTGACTAGAAAGAATTGGCAGCAAGAAAATCAGGCACAAACTAACCAAGAACCTATAGCTCAACAAATATGAAGAAGGAAATGGAGATTAATCTGGCATACGCTGAGGAAGCTATCGAGTGACATTGCGCGTAGGGACTTCCCGTGGGATGCCAGCAGGAAATGACGAGTGGGACGTCACTTCGAGGTCGACATGGAGAAGATCGTGCGAGGCGGAGATGAGATGCTATGGGCAGTTTTGGTGGCAGCTAAAGAGGACCACAAAGAATAAAACGAAGTGGAGATGTGTTGTTGAAGCCCTATGTTCCACTTGGCACCATGGGGAACGATGGTTGCTTGAAGTTGCTTTTTGGTGATAAATAACTGTTGCAAATATTCACTGTATATCTGCTTGATCAGCCCAGCAAATCACCTGTTGCAACCACAGCGGGTCTAACAGCAGCTTTAGAATGAATAATTTCGGCGAGTTATTCATACCATAGCCTTGTTCCAATCGATAATAGAGGGCATATTTCTACGTGGCAGTAGGTTCTTTGCGTATGATCGAACACTCTTCCTAACTGTAGACTGACACTCAATGCGAACAATGGAGTTGCCATATGAAGATATTAATTCACTTATCACCTTGACAATATTTCCCTGTTCATCTGTTAACAGTGACATTCAATGAAGACGGACGGACGTCGCATTTCTGAATATTCACTTCTGTGATGTGGTCAACGTTAGGAGGTTGAAGTAATAAGTCCTTCAGGGTCTGAACGTGTTGAGGTTCACGAACAGTACGGTGTATACTAAGGCGAGATCTAATACCTGCAACCTCTATAGTACTCGTTCTGCGTAGACCAAAAATAAAGCAAAACAACTAATTGATTGTCCAAAGTACGAAGTTTATTTCGGGACCAAAATCGCAGTGTGAGGATGGCGGCTTAGCTAGATAGGGATCGTGAACGAACAACCTGAAGTAACACAGTGGTGTACCAAATGGCTAATGATTTCGGGGATTATCTACCTCTACAGTTCCATTTATTAATTTCGAAAATGAAAACAAAAAGAAGACGTAATTTATCTGAAACTTGTGGCGTACTTGCTCAAGACATTTCAGACATTCCGACCACACATGTAGTTGTCGTACATTTGTACACAAAATGTCACACAGCATTAGGATAAAACTTTTATAAATACGATTGGAATTGTTTAATGATTACGGTCATAGAGGAAAGGAAGGAAAAAGGGGGAGAAAATGATATGAAGTAAAATGAACCTTGATCCTAAGATTAGAATATGAAAGAAAGTTCAAAGTAGTGACATGTAGGTTTTGAACAAATATTTATCCTGTAACTCCCAAATAACCCGTTCTACCGATACCATGAACTAATCAAAACAAAAACTTACCGTTCAAAGTACAAGACATGCTTCGGGATCAGAAACTGAGTAGTGATTGCTAAACTAGCCAGGGTCTGTGCACCAACAACTGAACATAACCCCACAGTGAGCCAATTGATAAGGATGCTTTGACCGCATACGTTCGGTTCAACAAGTTGACTTCAACAACAAGTGAAGATCGGTATCCAGTAGTGAGTGAGGAATACCGTAAATTATACGCCGACACAACATCCTCTTACTTTTTTTGTTAAAATGTGGAAGCCTTTCTAGAAGAAACACAATGAGCTTCATTGATATAAGTATTGGCTGGGCTGTGTTATCACAATATTTTTGATAAACTACAAAGGGATTCAGTGCTTTGTCGTGATGTTGGTCATACGATGACTATGAGCAGTGAATTGTGCTTAAACCACCATCACAAATAATATTATATCACTGTGTTTTCTGTCAAATAGACTGTCAACGATGATGGAACTACCACAGTGATATAAGAATAAAACTTGTGCACTGTGGTAGAGTGTAATTCCATTATGGGTAAATTTTATTTTGATAGAGTCTCACAGTGTTATACAGTAATATTTACTGATGACGTTTCGAGCACAAACTATTGCTCATAATCATATCAAGTTAATCACACGACTTCCTAAATTCATTTATATAGTTCCATTGTTTTTCACTTGATTTTCACTTGATTTGATTGGTAGTATTATTTTCCATATTTCAGGTATGAGTGATGATTCATTCCTATTGCATGTGTTGGGTGTAGATTCGATGAACAAAGATTCAGTAATCAACCTCTCTTTCTACCTACCTAGATTACTTTTTAGAATTTTAACCCTCTCCCACCCTATTGTGTGGTTGTGTGCTAATGCATGCATTGCAATTGCCGAGCTTTTTTCTAAATTACTTATCTTCTCTGGGTCAACCATTCTTACCTTAGCTAAATTCTCATGTTCTGACAATCTGACTACCCCTGACCTACTAGTTTGACCTATGTAATTGACCTCACAGTCATTGCAGGGTATTTTGTAAATTATATTATTTTGTCTAATTGGGTCCAGTGGGTCCTTCAACCTACAGAGCTTGTCCCTGAGTGAGTTTGTAGGTTTAAATGCCACCCTAATTCCTGCTTTATTTAGAATCCTACGTAGGGTCTCAGATGTCCCCTCTTTATATGGTATAACTGTAGATGACTTATATTCTCTCTTATGTATGTTATTATTACTAGTTTCACAATTCTTTTTATTTTTCTTTTGGCGTTTTTCAATCTTCCTAATGACTTTTAGAGGATAGTTATTTAAACCTAACGCCTCTAGTAATAATAACATACATAAGAGAGAATATAAGTCATCTACAGTTATACCATATAAAGAGGGGACATCTGAGACCCTACGTAGGATTCTAAATAAAGCAGGAATTAGGGTGGCATTTAAACCTACAAACTCACTCAGGGACAAGCTCTGTAGGTTGAAGGACCCACTGGACCCAATTAGACAAAATAATATAATTTACAAAATACCCTGCAATGACTGTGAGGTCAATTACATAGGTCAAACTAGTAGGTCAGGGGTAGTCAGATTGTCAGAACATGAGAATTTAGCTAAGGTAAGAATGGTTGACCCAGAGAAGATAAGTAATTTAGAAAAAAGCTCGGCAATTGCAATGCATGCATTAGCACACAACCACACAATAGGGTGGGAGAGGGTTAAAATTCTAAAAAGTAATCTAGGTAGGTAGAAAGAGAGGTTGATTACTGAATCTTTGTTCATCGAATCTACACCCAACACATGCAATAGGAATGAATCATCACTCATACCTGAAATATGGAAAATAATACTACCAATCAAATCAAGTGAAAATCAAGTGAAAAACAATGGAACTATATAAATGAATTTAGGAAGTCGTGTGATTAACTTGATATGATTATGAGCAATAGTTTGTGCTCGAAACGTCATCAGTAAATATTACTGTATAACACTGTGAGACTCTATCAAAATAAAATTTACCCATAATGGAACCACCACAGTTCTTAGATTATGTCCCTGTAATGTAGACTGGCACCTTGGAAGACTCCATAATTTGCCTCTTTTACCATTCTGTATTCACCAATAATATCAGGTCAGTGACACTGACTAAATAGTGACAACAGTATATGTAAACCAAAATGCATATTAGTCTATTCTTCCTCACACCTTCTATCTCAATCGAACAGTTACATGCTGTACAATTCAAATTCCTTGTTTTCTGACTGTTAAACGTAAGTATATTACCGTTGAAACGACTACCTTTGCCTCAAGATCGAAGTATGAGTCTCATGGAAACGCCTGACACTAACTAAGAGGTGTCTGATATTGGCGTTGGTCACTCTGTATCGCTTGTACCTATGCATCGCCGGTAATCAGTTTTAGTCATTTTCACATATCCTTTTCATTACCGAGTTCCTCACAGCTTGAGTTTCCTTCATCTGTCTATTGTGTATGTGTCTAGAAACAGCAAAAGCTAGTGTCGAGTTATTAGCACTCCATCCATGAGGTGGACACATGATTTGTCATCAACCACACCACATAGAACACATTGACTCTCATCCAGTCATCAAAGCTAAGCATCTATCGGTTCGGTTAGTACTTGAAGAAAAGACCAACTGCGAATACCGAGTTTTGTGTTGGATCCTGTGTGCATCAATGGTTTCATCGGTAGAATGAATGCCAACGACTGGAGAGTTGCGCGTTGGATTCTTGGCCAGAAGACACTCATACCTCGTTCAGACAGCGATAGTCCAGGAAACGATGGGGATTCGTCATGAGGTTGGCTACCGAATCCCTTAAATATTCAAAACTTGAGGCTCCAGTGATCCAGCGGGAACTTAGCGAATGAAGGGGAGACAACAACATGAGAACACAAACATTATTAAGGTAAATATTCGTCATAAAAATTGAATATTGTGAACACCAAAATCAGTGTCGCGCGGAAAATGGATGGTAGAAGCATATACATGAAAGAAATACAAAAGAAACACTATTAGACTTTAATGTTGGATAACATCGATTGTATGTCTCTGAAACTTTTATTTTCATAAGTTCTATTTGGTACAAGCTATTGATGAAGCCTGATTAATTCAACCGAAAAGATGTTGATTTGTAACAGAAAATAGTTTACTATTGTTTGGCAGTAAATTCGTATTAATTACTGGTGAGTTTGTAATTCTCTACTCTCATCGTCTCATTGGTAAGCTTCTGACAGATTCCTGGCTGTTCACATGAGGTGATTTTGATGGTTGCAATTCACCTCGGCATTTTCTCCATTCAATACCTTCATACTCTCTACTCCGTTGATATGCTTTACATATTGCGACTATTATCCATGTAATGCAGGTTAGACTCAATAGTGTGAAGACCAGAGTCAGTGTAAAGCTGACAAAACTGACTAGAAATGAAAGAGTAACAACAGAGAGATTGAAAGCAAATCATGTATATGAATATATTGGGGCGGAATGTTTGTAAACTCTAAATGACTACTTAGCATGAAGCTTAAAGAGAAAGCTGGGTATATTACGATGTAATGCTTTGTGAAAAAGTGCTGGTAAGGATATCATGAACTTGTAGCACCCCTATATTGAGCCTAACTGGACGCTTATAAGACTAATTCACGTACGCATGTTATGCGCTTACACAGACTAAATTCACATTTACTTGTTAGGTATTTACCATTGTATTATTGAACACTGCTTTTCGTTTATGAGTCCATTGAACTTCTCCCGAACGACATCACTAAACTAGCCTCCCGAATTTCGAAAATATCTGTGAAATGCGTTGAGTGATATTTAATCAAAGGGAAATTTTTAGTTTCCCATTACTTAAACAGAAATTTCTGTGGACTTGAGGATCGTGCTAAAATTAATACAATTTGTGGACTGCTCATTGGAATAAACCAATATATTTGTTTTAATTAATGCAAGGAAGACAGGTAATCGCATGAAAATAGTGAGGACAAGAATAATGCAGATGGCCGACCACCACCAACAACAACAAGCACAAATTGTCAACAGTGGGAGAAATGTAAGTGAAGTCATGTCTCCTTCACGTATCTGAGTTGAATCATTTTAGTTATAGGTAGCATGGATGGCGATATCGAACCCAGCCGAAATTGTTCCGGGAAACCAAAATTGTCACTCATTACTTTGAAATCACTATGGAAATGCATAGCAATTAGTACAGTGAACCAAGTAGAATGAAGCTGAACTGCTGAAACCCCATGATCTGAATGGTCAAAGTATCGATAATGAAACTATAAGAGAAATTAGCAATGTGAATTTTTTTTGTCCTACTTTTTATTAAGTCAATATTTTCTTCAGAGTTTGCAAGATGTTCTTCAGTGATTTTGTCGATGAATTCTTCGTATATTGGATATTGAAATTGAAAATTAGGTGAGCGCCAAACAGCAATCTGTTTTCACCCATGAGCATGAGTGTGCACTAGTGAAAATGGCCTTCAGCAGCAGAATTAAATCAAGAAAATAATGGAAGAAGCTGAAATAGTTCCGGTAGTATGTTGGTCAAACATTTATGAGAACCATTCGAATTATAGTTCTATCATTTGTTTAAATACTCAGAAGCTTTCTGTTCACCACAAGTAGAGAAATGACATGACTCATATGATATTTTAAATTTAGATATGATAGAAATGATTTGTAGCTCAGGTGGATGATATTGGTGTAGTTGTATCCTCTAAGCTAGATGTCCTGTTTGAGAAGCTCTCCAGACAAGTTTATTATTGAAGTTTACGCTGCAAGTATTGTGTCCAGAAAGAGACAATGAAAGCTTCACAACTAAACCGTCTTCAGCTCAGAGAACACAACAACACCAATATTCCTTTGGTTAAAAGTAACTTTAGCAGTTGTTTCTGGTATATCTTAAAAGAATGTCGAGTCAAAGTATAACGGGATTTTATCCGGAACCTATGAGCATGGAAAGCAATTTAAAAAAATACATAGGTATATATTATAGTCAAATATTGTCAATTCACACGAGATTAACTTACAACGACATTCAAGTGGAACTTTTGGGTCAAGATCTTCAGGTGCAAAGAAATAATTACAGACACATGTGAAATTTCCATCTAATGTTTTCAAACAATGAGAGCGTTGAGGGCATATTTTATGCTCACAGTCGTTGTAAAATGCTTTAACTAGGAATGCCTTGTGTTTTGCAGAAGAAAAAACAAAGTGAAATTTACAAAACAATAAATAGAAAATAAAATCGGTACGATTTTATTTTATTTAAAATTTATTCATTTTCTTTCTGGCCTCAACAAATGAGAAAACGGGGTAATAAATTAGGTTGAAACAAGACTAATATGGCGAAAATTCCTAGTTAGACATTCAGAAGACGTACTATAACAAGAGATTAGGCAAAGAATATTCTTTACAATGAACTTCCTCATCCCATCTTACCATTATGTTGTATGCATTAAATAGTTAAAGAGTGATTGTTATTGAACACCAACCTTCCTATTCTTTTTTGAATATTGTGAAGGTGTAAAAATCGCAATTGTGTATAAGGGATCATTTGCATAAATGTAATATTCAATATTAATATCAGAAGATCAAAGCAACCACTAAGGATGAATATGACAATAGTATCTTGTAAAAGACTAAGGGGAAAGCGTCAGATGTTTATACTTCAGGTAGTTTAGGTTTCTAAAAGAAGCCTGCTGTCAACTGACAGCGTGTAACATCTTCAAGTATGTTCTGTATGTTCTGTACATAAACTTAATGGTGTCTTTAGGCTATACGGAGTTGATGAGAAGCCAATGAAATAAATGTTGGTAGCATTTTTATACTGCACAAACTGTTTTTCTTGCTTTATTCAAAATCATTGTTAATTATTATAAATTATTCTGTATAATTTCCAAGTGACCATTATGATTCTATGCATTATCAGTCCGATTTCTGACCTACTTTATTCCGCTTACAACACTGACGATTCCAATCACGAACGAGTGAAACGACTGTCTGGGTTTCTTGATTGCTTCAATTTGGCTGAGAAACACTAGCGGTGGCTGTGAGTGGTTTTTCAGCTGGTAGTGTGTGAAATCCTACTGCTCGTGTGCATCTAGTTAACTTTGGCGTTGTAAGCGTTTTGCCCGAAAACATGTATCTGTACGCTTCCTGGTTCAATTGATGAAAGACAAACACAAGATGATGAAGTCTTCTGTGTGTCAGCGCCTTCTCGAGCCAGGTCATTCAACCTCATGCGATTTATCCTCTAAAGTTGTCTACAGGGATAAATTCAGCCACTATTAAGGTTCACATTTTCTTCACTTACATATAGCCGAAATTCAGGCTTTACAAGGAAAAAATCCCAAACAATGTATTCAAAAACTTTAAGAAAATACCCCCTTCTTCGCCTCCATCATGGCACCTCCTCAAAAATCATATTGGTTGTCTTTATTCTTATCATATGTCTACATTGGTTGTTGAGCAATTGTAAGTGCTACTCAACGCCTTTTCCTATAATATGAATACGACTGTACAGCTTGACGATGAAGCCGTTGGAAATAAATATGATTCTTCTTTGGTCGATGCTGTATTTTTCGCTGTTATTTGCTAGTGATGGAAATTATTCAGCCTGTGTTGATATATGAACTTCTGGCTCAGACAGTCCAGTGTGGAATTTAACCAGTCCCATCAATCAGTGTTTTCCTCTGTTCAAGAAGAGACGGTCTAAACACAAGACAGTCACTTTATTTACTTGTGCATCGGAGATGAATTGGTTCATAGAGTGGGATTATTTCAAACTACTAATAGTTCTGGTCGTTAAATTGTACTGATTGACATTTGTAGAATAAAACCAATTGTTTACGCCGAGCATATTCGGAGATCCAGGCTCCCTGCCGATCTCAATAGCTTTAAGTCTTCAGTTGGTCTTTCTGTATAGAAAGACAATTAGGCGTGTTCCCCTCTTAATCATATTTTGGGATAACACTGCTTTAGTTGTTCATCCGATAGTAGTTCTGATAAAATCAGTTCAACAAATTAACTAACACTTATTATCCTTCAAATCTATTTTCTAAACACTAGTTCAACACTGTTTTTATCAATTGTGACAGTTATTCTAAGTGATTTAGGTAAACGAGTTAGCTCAAAGGTAGCGACGTAGCAAGCTGAACGTGGTAACTATTGGGAAATGACGAGTTGGGTATCTGTGAGCGACATGGAGGAGATCGTGAGAGGAAGAGATGAGACCTTGTGAGCAGATGTGGAACCGGCTAAACGCGACTGTAGAAAGCAGGTTGAAATGTAAATGTGTTTGGATATTTTTTCCACTTTAAATATCTAAATTCTTGACCATTCAATGATAATATTTGCATCATGACGCCCAGTTTCGAACTATATTGAATACAGAAAGGCAGTATCAAGTAAGAAGCAAATGGAATTAATTTGTAGGGATTTAAGTTGTTCCACTGCAGGTTTCATCACTAAGTGACATCCATTAGAGATTCATTCGAAACCAGAGAACACTGGACATCTCTTTCTCGTCCTTATTTACATTGGAAAGGTAGCTGTTACACAAAATAACATTAATCAGAATTGAATGTTTTCACTTGTATCAGTCCACATCAATCTGTTGTATCTTTTCTGTAGCTTTGTGGAATGATGTTCCTTGAATGACCTTTATATCGTAACCAACAGGAACAAGTGAAAAGGTAGATACACGATAAACAAGGTCGTTCAGCACGTGTTTTGATCTCTCCTAAGGTTATCTACTAGTTCGCTTGATCGTTCGGCGAAAAATATATAAGTGGTTCAGAGTGTGCTTATTTTATCTAGAAAAGTCAGGGAACATTACGCCACATAGCTACGAAGAGGTCAAGATAGGTCTATACGATGTTCTCTAACTGAACATATATCTAACACTGGTCACTCGGTCTCTAAGGAAGATTCATTCAGAATTATTTAGCAGTTAGAATTCACAGGTCATGAGATTCTACACATTCAGTAAATGGTTAGCCAGCCTACTCATCTCAGAACCTCAAAATTCTCAGTGTGCGCCTCTGAAAAATATCCGGTTGTTTCATTGGCTTTCAATGATTCGCTAACTGGTGTAAATGAGTGAGAAATGTTAATTAGTAAATGGCCTATCATTCCATCTTACACATGAACCCGGATACAGTTTCTGAGTGATGTAGTTTTCCTTCGCCATTGCCGGCTGTTTGTATTCTAATAGTATTTATGGATTTATAACTGTAGAGTGTGAGGAAGAAGTTATCGAAAACTGTGCGTCGGCGGCACAGAGGTTAGGACGCTAGCCGACCATGCACATGGTCCGGGGTTTGATCCCCGGCCGACGCACACCCGATATTAATGGTCGGTCTGCAAAATTTGGGCTACCGATATCACATGCTGAGAATTCCATACTTGTATCAAAAATACTGTGTGGAGTCAAGCTATAATAAAATAAAATTTAAAAAAAAATAATCATGCTGTTTGAATATAAAATATTTTACGGCCTATAGTGATTTGTGAGAAATTCTGTCGATTAACATCGTTTAATTATTATGTCTGTCTGTACTTCTCTGAGTTTAACAAATTCACGCATCTCTATAGGTGATCAGTCATTTTAAAATGAGAATATGTTAGTAGGGTGAATGTAAAATACCAGACAACGTAATGATCAAGCCTTATCAGCTGCATGTCTGTTCAAATGACGCACAATTAGAAATCATTTTATGATCTAGGATAATAATAATATTAATAATAATAATAGACATATTTTAGTCTTGTAGACTCCTTATGGCTTTTATTAGTAAATATGAATAACAAAAGATTTTTAAATTACTTGATGCACATAAAAGATTAAGGCTTGTCTCAGCACAATAAATCAATATTTCAATTGTCTAGCTATTCACATTTTACATGTGTTGGTTTGCAGGGGGTATTGATAGTTCTCAGTTTACATAACAAAATGACTTCAGTTAGAGAAACTTTGAAAACCAAGGTGTATTGAACTGTAGCATGCACGCATGAGTATATAGTCAGCGATTAAATGCAGAATCTTCAGGTTACGAGTCGTGTCCATTGATGTTTCAGCCACTCGGAGGCGATCAGTAGCTTATAAATTGAAAATTCTGCCGATTTGCGATACTTACACGCCCGCCAACATTGAATGTCATCGGTGAGTATTTGTTTTCACACCCTATCTGGTGGATCCTACTGGCAACCACACTTGAAATTAATCAAATTCTCGCAAGCCAACACTTGAAAATTAGTATAAAGCTGATTAGTGATTGGCTCTGGGATGAAATTGCTGGGAGTTCTAATAGGATGTCGTCACTAGAGGACCTAGTATTTAGAAACATCTTATACTAATGTATCTGAATAGCCTCGTAACATGTTGCTTAATTTCACTCGATCTTATGCACATATTTAGCTTTTTTGACATACGAAGGGCGTATAAAACACCATAGTGGAATAAAAGCGGTCTGTTTGATTTTTTCGGCTCCTTTTAGTCACACACAGACTACATACATATTTATTACACCACATCTTAATACAATTCTAGACATAATTTAATTCTTGGAATAATGGCGTTTGAGTGTTGGTATAATTATCTTCTTTCAACAGGATGGTTTATTCGTGAAGGTTTCTCACACCTTCTAGACAACGTCTTTATCACAGGCTTCAATATAAAGTGAATTGATTTGAATTCTCCATGAAATGTTTATCCTGACGGTCTTGCTTGTGATTGGTTGTCATTTCACATTAGTATTGATCAATTCATTCACCTGGAGTTTGAGTTTTCGTCATATGACTTATTCTTGATTAGTTGATGAATTTGATCTGTGTTAAATATTTCTCTTGGTTGTAGATTCATCTGAGTAACAGGCTTCTAGGAGTTGGATAAAATTCGCAGTCTTCAGATTCACTCGCTATTTTACAATTTACAGATTTCGAGGCGGAATTTCATCACAGTTTCATTTTGAAATCGATATTATTCAGATCACAAAATGTGACCGAGTTGATACCATAAACAGCAGTCAGGAGGACTAGCACAAATGTAGGATGCCATATACTGCTGATTGACTGATATTAGCCTTTGAATACCACTCAAACTATCAGCACACTAGGTACACCGTTGATGAGTTTCACCCCCCACAAATGTGCGAAACGCCTATCCAATGTTTAGATCACTTCACTCTGAATTTTCAAAATGTCTCAGAGTGCCTTTCTTTCAAAGCATCGACATCTGAGCTGGCAATATATTGACAAGGAACTGAGTGGACACCTAGAAGTACTGTATTGTACCAGAAAAACAAATAACTATTGTAATCAGACCTTGACAGGCAACAGTTATTAGCCTTCAATTGATTTGATAAATCAATTTTGACTTGTTATTTTGGTTGGTAGCGATTAGCATTAGAGTTCAGGATGTGCATTTTACACACTCTTTAGGACTTTTAAGCTGGATGAATCTGCATTCCTGAAAAAGTGTAGTGGTGTTCCCACTCAGAGTCATCCTGCACCCATCATTCCAAATGACAAAGCACTATCCGCTCATGACTCTAATGGCCTAGTACATATATATATATATATGTATGCACAGTTTCACTCCGAAATTATACCATTTATGGAGTGATGACAGTCAACGAGGATGATCAGTTCTAAGGTATCGGGGAGGTGGGATGAAAATAATTGACTACGAAAATCAAGACTGTTAATTCATGGCGGTTAGTAACGAGTTGTTAATCAACATGAAATATAAATATTGAGATGTGGGACGGGCTATAATAATTACAGAATTTAAAGTCAGTTGACTCGTAAGGGTTAGCTGTGTAACGACAAGATGAGGTGGTATAGCTTAATTTGATCCTTTGACTAACCAAACTGTGCGGTATTCGTGGATCCGATAATGAACTGCCTAATCGTAAGCACAATGTAACTAGCTCCACTGAAAGGGGCTAAATGTTAGTGAATAAACAGTAAAGCTTTGCCGCCCTTAAAATCCTTTTGAAGACGGGCCGGAAAGGATAAACAAGCAGCAAGTAAACCTCACTAGCAGTGGACCAGTTAACAATCTACTGCCCAGCAAACATGTGACAAGGAAATGAGGAGGGTGAATCTGAAGTACTGTAAAGATACCGATGAGTGACATCATACGCCTGTCTGTCTGTCTGTCTGTCGAGTGAAATACAACTGAGAGGCGATGACTTGTGTATTTGAGGGTGACATGGATAGAGTCATATGAGGGGAATAAGAATTAGAAGCCTTGTGGAGAGTAACGGATCTGTCTGGAAGTGATGGCAAAGTACCGGGTGAAATGTCGATGTGCCTCTACAACTATGGAGCACGAGGAATGGATTATAGCGGTAAGGTACCAGCCCAAATGCACATATCTTTTAATTAAGTTTCCAGCTTGTATTTCTTCACTTATAATTTATCAAAACTGAACACAACGCATAAAAGTTAAAGACGCATATAGCAATGTGAATTATTTGTCAGTAAGTATTGATACTGTGCTCATAACTCAGTATGATCTTTATCACCCTTAAATACCGATTAATATTAGACAAAACGACAAAATTATTTAGAAACATTTATTCATTATTATTGTTCCCTTGAGTTCCAAGTGGGACACATATCTTCAACAGCACGTCTCCACTTTGTCCTATACTCTATGGTCCTATATAGCTAGACTCCAGATTGCCCATAGTCTCTGATTACCTTCTATCACAATCGCATATGTGCGATCCCTGGACGCCCTACTCTTCATTTCCCAATCCAATACACACACGCTTTCATGAAAGGACAAAATCGACACAAATGTGATAATCAGTATGATTATGTAAACACACGCTCATTTTATGATTTCATACACTCATCAAATACAACAATCCTCACATGGTTTCTTATCTTTACAAGCTGACCAACTTGATAATGTAAAAATTACCTCATGCTGAAGAACTATAACTAGATTATTGTGCATAAGCTGAGATTCTGTAAATTCCGGTTTAATATTACTTCAATAAAGCTATTAGGAGCATTCAGTAGCCGAACGTCAGTGGAAGCAGTATCGTCTTGTTTTTCATTCACTGGGAAATATAAACCTTTCATAAACATAATGAATATATCACATGACCAATGCCCAGATGATTTCAGACTATTATTGGTCAAATTGGTTCGGATATTTATGAGAATATTCTTTCCTCAATCTCTTTGTCTTCTAAATTTCCAAATGGGAACTGAAACTTTTCGTGACATCACTATGAAAAGGGTGTTTCTATACATCTGTAACATTCTCTCGAAATTATAAACTGGATATCTATTTTGTCGTATGGTAGTCATTATACATATACACCATTTGAACTTCCTCTACGATAGACTATGTGTTCTACATTGTCAATGATAATAATGATAATAAAAGTAACAATAATAATAGTGATAATGATTCGATCTCACAACTTACCAAATCTTTTAACATACTGTATGTGGCGTATAATCACTTAAAAATAAATCCATCAAAAAGTGCTCCACACCTGAAAATGTTTTTTTCTGAAGAAACTGGAAAACAGAACACTACTCCAATCACCAATTTTCAATGTGGTAATTGATTTGCGAGTGTGTGTGTGTGTCTGTGTGTGAATGTGCTTATATGGATCATTCAAATGCATTTTTGTTTAAAGCAAGGAATACATTTTAGTGCCATCAAACTGTTTAGAAATGTATGCTATGCATGTATGGTTAGCCTAGGCATGAATCAGTCTCATTGTGTATATATTAGCATAGAAAATTTAAGTCAGTATACACGTTTAGAGCTGCAGTAACTACGTCTAAGGGTGCATGTTTTGACCTCCAAATGTCTCCTTCAGTTCACAATCCCAGCATACACGTAGTTACAGTCTCTACGCTTCTGCCTAAACCAGGTGTTGATCATAGGTAATTCCCACGTCTGCTATTGTCCTTAGCTTTCATAGTCATTTAATCAATGTCTCACTGTTTATGTCTCCACAGCATGCCCTACAACAATTAGGTGTAATTTTACGAGTATAAACTGAAGAAACATTGAATAGATTGTGTTTCGAACTAAAAATTCTGAGTGAAGGTAAGACATTTGAGAAAAAATCAGTATATAACTCCAGGCAATTAAAATTCACTGGCCAGTATGAAAATTGTTATTATGCAATTAACTGTTCATTCTTTTTTCCCTTTTGTGGGACATGCAGCCTCTGTGGCACATCTCCAATCCTCTCGATCAATTGTCAGCTATCACTTTCAGCTACTACTACTGCCCACAAGCGCTTTCGCTTGATGTGCCTTCAGATAATCTTCTCTGTTTCATCATCTCACGCCCAACCCATCACTGCTGATTCAAGTTCTAAATGAAGATCAGAGTGGTGTGTGGTGCGTGGTGTAACTTGAATGTTTCTTCTGTGTATGTACACTCCATCTTCATTTCTCCGTACATGTTTGTTGCGCAATAGGTTGTTGGCTGATTTGCTGTCAAAACTACTTTTCGCTTATCCGGTAATCTTTAAATACTTTCAGCAATGTACTAAGTCTATTTAAATCATATAGAAAAGCACAGACTTGACACTAGTGGCCAGGAACAAAGAAATCTCTCAGGAAGCAAACTAAACAACAACCCAGTGCCCAAAAGAAGTGAAGAAAGAAGAGGAGATTTTTTTGATTTACAGCTTGATTCCACACCGTATTTTCAGTACAAGTATGGAATTTTCAGCATGGATATCGGTAGCCCAAATTCAGGCCGACCATATATATCGGGGGTGCGCCGGACCATGTGCATGGTCTGCGAGAGTCCTAACCACTGTGCTACCGACGCACACATACGCAGACATACTCCAAGGAGAACTACAGGGAAACCATACCTCATAACATCGAATGAAACTCTAGTTTGGAGCAATGAGATCATGTGAGGTGTGGACATAAGTTTTCGAATGGTCACGGAGGCAAGTGAAAGTAGAAACTCAGAACTAAGTAGAATAGACAAATGCCTCTGCAGGCCCATGTTCCACTCGGAAGGCAGTGAACAAATAATAAATAACAATGATGCAGTACCTAGGAAGAAGTGAGAATTTCGGAAATTACTGGGATTACACGAGTCTCGACAGTAAAATACAATTTAATTTATGCGACACATGTAGAGTATTTTCCTAACACATTCCGAACATTCCGTCTAATCACACTATAGGTCATTATATGTCAGAATAATAAGTTAGGGATGCGAATCACAGCGAAGTGAGGAAACAGACTGGCGTAACCAGCAATGTGTGAATAGTCCTCACTTTGAGAAGTGGATTTCAAAAGCATCTTTAATGATAATCACAGGAACAGTCATCTGATGCATTGAAGTTCACTTTAAGGATCGTCGCCACCCACCATGACGTTTTTTCTTAAGGTTAATATAAACACGTAAATCACCAGGTTGAAAAACATTTGAAATAATTGATTATTTAAAACAAAATAAACCCATGTAATCAGATGCGATATAAGCGACGGAAAATTTTGGCACCCCAAGGTTTCAGCAGGCCGCCACCACAAGTAATCTCTCGAATACATAAATCAGATTTGGGTACTTTCATAGCTAGGGTTTCAACGAATTCATTCATATGATCCAACCTGTTTCATTAGATACGTTTAAAGACACCGTTGAAGTTGGCTTCATGACTACACACTAATAGACGTTAGGTGACAGAAGACCAATTCCATCTCTATCCAGCGTACTGAGTAGGGAGGTCAAACTGAAAGTTTTCTGGTCATTCATATGGTCTGTCATAAAACCGTTAATAAACTAGCAAGATATGTAAACCTTCGCTTCACGTTACTGATTTGATGGCGTTTTAACTGATTTGTTTTTACTACTTGCACCCCTTATCTTCATCTCATTGCTTAACGCTTCTGTTCGATTGATTTTAAGTTTGTTTTCATAACAGATGAATGCAAGGAGAGTCTACTGAATAGCAGTTTCATAGACATTGTAGAATATGTTTGATAGTATATTCATCAGTTCTAATTACTATTAAACGAAACACCTACTTTGAAAAAATCTTCCATTTGTAGGTAAGAACGCAGAAGTCCTCAATCAGATCTCTTTTTGTGACTTTACTACAACCAGTTATTGCAATTTAGGGGTTTTTATATACTACTTTAAGTGACAACAGAGGTCAGAGGTTGCTTTCAGTTAGTGTAAGAGGTAAATCAATTCTTGAGCACATTGCTAATTCTTATCGCACAGACACGAGAGAGACTTCATTTAGAGTCATATATAAGGCAAGAATAAGCCTTTCTATGGAATTTTCCTTACGTCTGTTTACTGCAATCGAGATTCCCACAATTCACATTGAGAAACGGGAACTTTACAACTGGAAACGTCCTGCTCAGCCTCTTTCAAACTACCATGACCTTAATGGGCATTTTGTGTTTCTATATTCTTGGGTGATGAAATCTGTGTAGTCCATCCTACTGTTATATTATTGCAGTTGAGCTTCAATTCTTTGTTATCTTGCTTCCAGTAGATTCATTCGGAATGGTTATTTTGCTAAAGTATATGTTTTCATTTGCATCACATGACAATTATCCAGTCGGCCATGGTCCAAGTGACTACTTATTTCTAGAAATGACAATAAAAGTGGTTTATTCATAAAGATTCTGCCTACCCTTTTCCATAGAAATGTGTTTTCAGTGTTCAGCAATGACTACACCTGTTCCATTCAACACTCTAATGGTTTCGTGCAAACGTGAAGAGAAGATCTGAAAATATAAGAAAAAAACAGTTGTGGATTCTTTTCAACTGTTTATAACCTAAGCAGCATTAAAATATATAAATCACAAAATAGGGTTTGAAGAATATTTTTATTACTCTAACAATGAGTAATCGACTGGGGAGCAGTAAGTGAGCAATAAGTTCAGAATGATGTAGACGCTTAAATTATTTGGGTTTGTTTATCATAAAGAAGTCTGCATTTCACTGAAGAGGTTGGAGTATCCAGAGGACTAGTTCAAAACAGAGGGGAATGCTCATCTACTGGACTCTACTGCTAGTCATCATCCACAGAAATAATATGACACAAAATGTTTTTCTTGTGAAACTTATTTATTTTGATTACCGTCACATGTCTACTTATTCTTCGTCACAAGTTATCGAACACATTTTATTTGATGGATTGAACAATGAACAGTTGCCCCCCCCTTAGCATCATGCGTCACATACCTGTCTGTGTGCGAGAAAATTCGAAGAACAATTCATGCCATTTTCATTTTTTCTGTTACTGTGTAAGTGAAAGTGACAACAGACTGTATATCTGCATTGTTTTATGTCGTCAGTGAAACGCACTTGGTTGTTTTTGCTCCATTGAGAAAGAAACACGTGACCCCATGAAATGATGTAAATCAATTTCTAAAAAGATAAAGTTTTAATGCATTGTAGAGTTTAGATAGACAAGAAGAAATTACGAGTGCAAAACAGCTGCAAGTACCAGTCACTATCAATGAGCAGCATAGTTTCAACCATAGGCGACTTCATGGATGATGTCAGAGCCAATCAGACTCAGAAGAGTAAAGCAGACCTTCATTGATGTGCAATCAGTCTGGAGGTTTATTACACCAAATGTAAAGAACGAGATTCGGATTGTCAACACGATTGTCAAATAAGTCAGTGACTTCATATGGTTCGGTGGCTGGAGAATATATAGTCAATCAGAAGGGATAAACACCGCAGAATTCTGTGAACGATATAAACAAGAACCTGCAGCCTAACAAATATTGGAAATAAACTGAGAATAATTGGACATACATTGTGAAGAGCTTCGAGTGACATCGCGCGTATGACCCTTGAGGGGAGTCTGAATAGAAAACGACGAGTTCGAGAATTGCATGAAGGAGATAGTGTGAGGAGGACATGACATCTTATGAGCGATTGTGGGGCTGGCTGAAGAGAACTGCGGTGAAAAGGACAAAATGGAGACTAGCTGTTGAAGCTGTATGTTCCACCCAAAACTCAAGAACATCATAATGATGGTGACGATAATGTAATGATTCTACTTTTCATAATTCACTCCTTAACCCTGAATCAAAAGGAGTCAATATGTAGGGCGAAAACGACTTGATAGAACCGGTGTCACTGCAATCGACTGAGTTATATTAATGATTTCCGGATATCATTAAAGTTTTCAAGCAAATAGGCTGCACAAGATAAATCGCCGCATACAATGGATCTATCATCAACAAACCTAGCGGATATGGTTATTTCTTTGGTTGTATCTTTCGATGATTTATTCTCCGGATTTGCCATGACTAACACAGAACAACAAAGTTGAGGCCTTTTTAAGTTCTCAGGAGTCATATTCAACAAATGCTTAGAGCCCGACTTAATTGCATATTCAAGAAGAAGCCGTAGTTGGTCTTTCTTTATTATGATAACTCAACTTTTAGCCTGAATTGATTGTGTCCTCTCGTCTGGTGTAAATGTTGATTACCTTTCAAGCTTACTTAGTCATGTCATCGTTCATTAAATGTCAAGCTTCATACGTCTTATGGCTAACTAAAGGAGCTTAACTCATAACACATATATTCATGTTATTTCTTCATTAGCAGCTTGCGTAGTCTTATAA